GAATTCATCACTGCTTGCTAAACAACACATATCTCTCCTCCACACACAGTGCTGTACAGGTTGAATTGACACAGAATCCAAATTAAGAAATCTGGATATGGACATGATGAACAAGATGAAAAAAAGGGCACTTTGATAAGACCATCTGCTGATGGAGGAATATCCTCTCTGCTAGGGCCATGATGCAAAACAGTCTCAAGCTGAAGAGACAATGGGGATGGAATGCACATTAACTTTGATAAAAGGAGGGAAAAAAAATTAACAACTTTTAAAATTCTAGCTGTCAGTGGCCCAAGAGTCATGTGTTTAGCTTTCCACTTAGTGTGCAATTGCTGGAAGTCACGTGTTGCCATGGTATCCTCCTGTGCTGAACATCCCACTGCTGGGGACCTGCAGCTTCTTGCCTGGCATCAAACACATTCGCCTCTAACCCAGAAAAGCCCTGCCTGGTCAGCTCCTGGAGCTCTACCATTTGTCCCAGGTGACCTGATTACAGCTTTGATCCATGGCCAGAGCAGCCATCTGCAAAGTACTCAAAGCTCCAGCAAAAGGCTGCTTTCATTTCTTTTCAGCGCCTTAAAAGTGCTCATAAAGTCACCTTGAGCACACAAAGATGACTTCTCTTTCTCTTGTTGATGAGATTTCACAGATGATCTGATTAGAAAGTGTCTGGTACTGGGCTGCACTGCCAGGGGCAGGAATGATACTCTTTTGACTCAGTTTCTGGCTTTTTCCAGATTCTCTTACTGAATGGAAGTTTTTAACCTAGTGTGCTTCTCTGGTGGTTTTGTCATGAAGCAGAAAAAAATTTCTAATGATTTTTGCTCTGAACACCTCAGGCTTTCACATAAATGAAATGTCCTGAAAACAATTATTTCTCATTTATCAGCAAAGTATTCCCCCTGCCTGTCTGGGAGTGCTTTTCCCTGGCCAGTACAGCCACATGGGGAGCTCGTGTCTGTTAAGGGCTTCGATGTGCTTCTTTAATGCCACGTCCTCAATACACCACGGAAAGTGTTTCTGAGGAGAAACTCAGTGCATTCTTGTTTGTTCCACAGCAACAAAGAAATGTAGAAAATAAAAAAAAAAAAACAATAACAAAACACAGACTCAAAATTTTACCTCAGCATAACAAATATAGCCAGGCCTAACACATTATGAAACAAGAAGGAATTGAAGTAAATTTTTGTCTTTATGTGGTGCCACATAAGTGAAATGGACAAAGGTCCAGATGTACCATATGAATCTTGAATAATTGCGTTCAAAAATATTGAAAAGAATTACAATAATTTCTGTTAGGCTGAGGGAGTGCAATATGGTATCTTATTAGTTTATAGGAATATGAAGTATTCATCAAATTGTCTTGTACTTCTTATTGCCTTTGAGCTCTCACTAGTCTTATGGATGATTAGCTGAGACATTCCTCTCAACAGTTACAATTCCAGAAAGGCAGGAAACAGCAGAGAAATAAAATCATTCTCAAGAATCATCAGAAACTCAGCAATACAAACTGCAGTGGCAGAGGTAGGGTGCAGAACAGACAGGTATTTACTAAGTCAATATTCAACTAAAACCAAAAAAACTCTCTGTTGCCTGCAAGTTGGAAAACTAAAAAAACATATATAGGAAAATTGTTCTCCTCTGGTATTATAACCCTGCTGTTCAGTGTGTTGGAAAATAACAAAAGAAAGGGAGAAGTAGAATAGCTCAGAGTAGGCCCCCTTGGACATGACAGCCCACAGGTTTAGAAGCATCTTAGCAAAACTGAATATTCAACAAGCTTCTGCTTTTAGAGGACCTCAGAGTGTAACTAGCTAAACACAGAGAAAAACAGGATTTCATTTCTCAAAACTGATACTTTTTAAGCCAATGGGGAATAGTCCTCTCATACATTTTCAACATCTCACTAAGACTGCCCTTAAAAATGCTGTCTCTTGCATCTTAATAGATGTTATCACCCCCTCTATGTCATGTTTTATATTTTATATACAACCATTTTGCAAAAGAATTTCTAATTTCCTAATTAATCTATATTAATGCAAATCTAGGTTAACAAAAACTTGATATTGGCCACAAATGTCAGTAAGTATAATGACATGAAGAAAAAAAGTAGTCCAGGTATTTAAGAAGGCATTCAATTCTGGCATCAGTAAGAGGATAAGGGGAGGAAAGGAAGAAAGAAAGGAAGGAGGAACCAGAGAAAGAATGGAAGGACTTCAGGGACATTAATATGAATTGAAACAGGATAAAAAAATATTATTACAACTCAAATTACCTGACTTCACAATAACTCCTTCTTTAAACAATGTATATCTGAGCTGGATTTCATAGAAGTATTTTTATAAGACTAACTATGAAGAGAGAATTACTAAAGATGTGTAAAAGACGTGTAGGAAATTGTACTGTACTGAAAGGTCATGCTCAATAGAGAATGGCTGTAAGCAAAGCTCTTCCTTCTTGACATTAATATTCTTTAGTATTTGTGTGTTGATGAAATTTCTAATGAAACAAAATCAGCAGGCATTGTCAGCACCAAGGATGATCAGAACAAACATAGCAAGAACTGGATAACCTTGAGGACTGTACAATATTAAGAACACTGATTTATGTGAACAGCATTATGAAATGCCAAGTCACGTGTTCTTAGCACTGTGCAAAAAAACTCTTCAGAAAGGTAGGAAGAACCCAGCGCTGGAAAATGAGTGGGGAAAGGAAAGAGCTTACTGCACTGTTCCAGAAAGGACTCTCACCTGTGATATGCAGCTGTGAAGAAAGGCAGGATTAATGCCATAGAATAATACAGATTTCATCTGGGACATTGTTCATGTTGTTCATGGTACTAGTTATTCCTAATGAAGAACTAATGCCAGTTCTGCATGTCTCTTAACATATTTCTGCATGAGAAAGCTAAAAAAGATTGGAATACTCAGTTTCATGAAATGAAGTCTATGAGAAATTACAAGTGTTTTCGTTAAATATATTATGAAGGTCCCAGTAGGGCCAGAGAAGACACTGAATTAAGAAAAATTGTAGGTCCAAGCAGTGAGTATTAATTTCATGCCTTCATAAGGCATGAAAAGACTTGGGGTAGGAATTCACAGAGTATCTAACCACTACAAGAAAGCAGTGGTAAAACAGCCATCCAAGAGGATCAATAGGACAAGAAACCAACCTTCTTCAGGCATGCAGCTCAAACACTTTTTAGAACTGATTATGACTTCAACACCTGCACTGAATGACTTGGAAAGTCAATTTCAATCTTATTCATCCTGCCTGTCTACCTACCAGCAATTTTGCCTTAAGTGATTCATGAAGAGTGGACACACAGATTTTCAGCAGGACAGAATGATGCTTATGAAGAGGAATCATTTTCTAAAGCAGTGTGACAGTGCTTCAAAACACAGCCACATGTTACTTTATCCACACTCTTTACTGGACTTCATTATTGCAATGACAGGCTGGCTGCACTGATTTAAATCCATTCTACCTTTGTGATACTGCAACAGAGCTCAAAAATCCACAAATGACTTCTGCCCCAGCCATCCCAACTTCTATGGTAAACTCAGCTTCTACCCTTTCTATAATATAATGAGCATTAAATTTTCATACTGCATGTAACAGCAACTTTGAGCACTCAGTACCTCAGTTTTTAGGATTGTTTCTTGAAAGATTGGTGATCTGCATCAAACCTCTAAATCAGATAAAAGAGAAATTTCAATTCACAAGTCCCACATTCTAAGTCTGAATGAGAACAAGTGCTCTCATTGAAAAGCAGAGACACAATTTCCAGCTTTGTGCAAGGACTGCCCTGACAGGTATTTCCTAGGAATATTTTCCAGAGCAAGTTGTGAAAGGATGAGAGGAGGGATATCTACTTTGTGAATAAGACTTACTCATCTCAGCAATACAGAGAGATGGCAAGACCTTGTTGGCCATTTAAACAATGCTGTAAGCAGAGAGAAATAGCAGAACTACAAAAAAACCCAAAGAAATGAGACTTTATCCACTCTCAGTGCAAAGGACACCACTACATTTGCTGCTTGTGAATATCAGTACACAGAATTTTAATGATAGTCTCAACTCTGCTTAGTTATGCATGGAAATTATTTCAGGCAACAGTGTTACAAGAATTTTAGCATATCTGTAAATTCCAACAAGATGAATGAAATTTGGACACAAATGTAAAGTAAATTCTTAAATGCTTTCTCAAACAGAAGTTCAGCTGTCCCATATTCTTACCAGGCTGTAGCACAAATTAAACACAGAAATCCCACATATTTCATAATTCAGAACTTATTTTAAAATACACATACTTGTATGCAGTATATTAAAATATTACATTAATCTTGAAAGTTTTTATATAACCTTAATTAGAGTGTTATATAACATGCTTGCAATATTGTAATTATAAAAGTGATCATTAATCTTTTTTAGAGAAAAGAGATTTTTACTTCACAAGTTTTATCTACATAAGTCAATACACACCAGCCATTAAATCACTATATATAAATAGCCTGCTTACATACTTTGAAAGTTGAACTACAGCACAGTGGTTAGGAAAAAACCCGCAAAACACCTATTTCAAGGACAATTCTAACCTCTTGCCTTCACTTATAAGTGGAAACAAGCTGTCACACAGTTCAGCAGTAAGGGAGGATAAAGAACTGGTAATAATCCTTGTGCTCCTCACATGAACTCGCAACAAGGCATTTGAATGAGACTTTTAAAGCTGTAAATTGTCCATCAAAACACAGAATAACTTTTTGCTAATCCTTGTGCCACAAATTACTAATCCATCTGGAAAGCTATTTTTTGCTTGTGTTTACAAGGATCTAAACATCATCAGACAGAAAGACAACTGGGTTAGTAGCATGTAAAACAACAAAAAAAAAAAACCAACAAAAAAACTGAATACAAAACCTGAAAAAGCCAGAACCGACAGAAATAAAAACTCTAAAGCAGTTGACCAGAGAATAAGCAGGATTTGCAGAAGTACTTACAGCTTTCAATCTCCAGCGTGCAGTTCTGCTCGTCCAGCGGATATCTCCGCAGGTCCATCATACAAGCAGCTGTTGTTGTAATTCTGGGAAGGAAAGAGAAGGGTTTGTTAATGTGAACGTTGTTCATGTGCCTCGTTCCAGTCTTTCCTCAATCACACTTTGGTGAAGAAGAAACTGTATTTCTACATGAGTGACTGTCCAAGATTGAAGCACCAAGATGTTTCCCTATCCCCATTGGAGTAGCAGTTGCCTCTGGGCAGATTTCCTTATCTCCTGCTAATGTCCCAGCAATGTCTGCCACAGGACTCACAGATAACGCTCTCCAGAGCCAGTTCTGTTTAAAAGGTGATTAAGGACACTCCTCCTGACTCAGAATAACATCAGCCCATTGTGAGATTCTCCGCCCAGGGGGAGGAGCCAGGCATTCCCACCTGGATAAATCTGGGGATTTCTAGAGAGAGAGAGGCAGCCTTCCCACAGGTTTCTGAGAAGACACAACAGCCACATCTTCCATCCCAAGAGGACTGCAGGCACTCCAATTTGGACTGCTACCAGCATGCTGGCTGAAGGGGTGTCAGGTTGTATTCTGAATTTGTCAGTGGTCTTCCTTTTGTATCATTGCATGTATTTTTGTCTTTTTTCCTTTTCCCAATAAATTGTATTTCTGACTTGGAGTCTCACAGTGGTTTTGCTTTCAAACCAGAAGCAGTGATGCTCTGCCTGGTTTTGCTTGGACATCATGTCTGCTGCTGCTTGTAACCAGTGCTGTCCCAGGGAGGGTCTCCCAGCACAGCTCCCCTCGACACAGGTGTCTGCAGCTGTGTGCTAAGCACAGCTGGCTGGCCAAAGCACCTGGGGAGCTGCTTCCACACCATGAGAACAACGAGAGCATTGGGCAGCAGCCATTTGTACAAGCTTTCTTCAAGCTGAAAGGCTGACCGAAGGAATGAACTCAAATTGTAAAATCCAAGATGATGATCTCCACAATGGGAGTAGATGGAGTGCCTACAGCACATGCAGACATTAAGACATTACAGGATCACTGTCTTTCCAAGGTATTAATGAGATATTGGGTGACAGTTTTCTTCTCAAAATCCTATCATGTATGAGGTTTACTACTGACTTTTCATTGTAGATACTTAGAATGTTTAATAACAGTTCAAAAACTTCTTGTACATTCTTTGTTCTGATGAAAAGACTTCAGAGAACTCTTTCATTTGATAGGTCTTATTCTTTCTCTTGAATACCTAAAAAAATGTTCATTAGTGGCAGAAAATTACAGTTGCCTGGTCAAAATTCACTCAAAATTGACTGTAGCAACCATTCCTACAAAGCATAAATTAAGAATCTTCTTAAGTATGCTTACTGTCCTATCTTATTGGTCTCTTGGAGAAAAGGAACATCTTTTGGCACCAAGTTCTTTCTTCTTTCCATATAGGTGTACTCACAGAATTGCTTTGGAAGACGTAATGTTTTAAATCAGTGTATATTACCAGAGATGCTTCAGAAGAAGACTGTTTGGAGTGGGACAAAGCATAGGAAAAGGTTCTTTTGGTGCCTCTTAGTGAAAGCCTTCCAGCTTTTAACAAAATCAGACTGCTGGGGAATACGTATGTGTTGATAGCAAATGCAAATGGAGCAAGCAGTAGCACATATTGGTAAAAAAATCTCTTGGCAGTTAATACTTGGTTCCTTATTTTTAAATTTAAAGAAAAATTAAAGAAAATGCCCCGTTCCAGTATCAATAAGACTGATTATTTTGGGGCAAACTTCAAGAAAGGTATAGTGAGACCAGAAAAAAATTACAGCTCATGTTTTTTGTTGGGTTATGTTTTCGTTTTTTGTGGAGAGGCTTGCTTTGTATGCCTCAGTATTTCCATACTTACCTGTATATTATAGCCAGGATTTTACAAGAATTTTGGTAGTTCACAGAGGAAAAGGTAGAGCACAGACTTAGAGCCAAGGTTTAAATGCACAAAAGAGTTATGGTAAAAGCTAACCTGGTTGACTACTAAGTTTTCTCAGAGCTTTCTCTGCACTGAACATTTCCTACCAGATCCAAGGGTTCCACACAGACACAACCCCCAGCTCGTGCTACCCTCTGCAAAGTGTCTGTTCCCACTGGGTGGACTGGAGAACTCACAATTGTCACACATTTCCAGAGGATTTTTGGTGCAAAAAAACCAAGAGAGGCCAAAGGCTGCAGACAGTTGGAATAAAAGCTGTGTAGGGAACATAAGGAAATCACTAAAGGACACAATGCCCTGCGCCTTACCAGAAGGTAAAGGAAAAAAGTGGCACAGTAAGGAAAATGATTTGTAGAGCAGGGATTTTATCAAATCAAAATTTGGAATAACTGAATGTATTTAATTCACTTGCTTGTCCCTTCATATCCATAATGCAAATCCATTGCAATAAAATCAGTACTATGTCCTTTCTTCTCCTCGTACCTCCCTCATATTTTTAGCCTGGCTTCTCACATTTATAGTAAAGTAAAAAAAGTTCTCTTTCATCTTCATCATTAATTAAACAGAAAAACTACCTTTGGATAATTCTTAGTGGTTCACAATTCATGGTGATTAGCTAAATCAAATTACCAAAGCAACAGAGTGCAAGAATTACCACCTTGGAATACTTTTGAAGGCAAAAGACATGAGCCACACCTTTACAGACAGAGGAAGAAACAGTTCATTTTAGAAGTTGGGAACACTTGAAACAGGCCCAAAGCCTCTCCCCCAGAGCAGAACTGTTTCAATTTTCACAGCAGGATTAAAAATATTTTTAAACAGCCTGTACTAGTGCAAAAAATATAACATTGTGTTTTGCATAAAGTAACCTTGAGAACAAACAGTGAAAAAGTGAAAGCTTTTAAAAAAACAACACTGTGACTCAAGGCACTGCAGTCATTGGGGATGATACAAATAACAGGACTCAGAGAGGCACCACATGAAATGAAACACATCACAGAACTGTTTCCCTCATACACTCATCTTTTCATCTGTTGCTAAGAAAGAGAAACCTTGTGATATTTTATGATTCCTAACAATGAAAATGAACTTTCATATTTCTCTTTTATGAACCATATTTTGAATGTAGACTGATTATGAAGCACAAAAAAAAGCAAACCTTGAAGCACCACTAAACTGACCAAAAAAAGTATTATGAAGTAGACCTAGAGAAAACTTCTTAAGTTAAAGGAAGCACAGCTACAGTGAAAAAAATATGCCCCACAACTGACTTGCGGGGAAAGTAAAGTTTGCTGTCAATAATTCAAAATAAGTCAGATAAATTCTGAGAAAGCTGAAAATCTGCTCACCTCCAAATCACTGGAGAGTTTGTGATTCAAATAACTGTCAGAAATTCTCACTACTTCTTTAAGAGGCCAAATGTGAAGGCCATAATAAACTTCTTTGAACACTTCTAAACTTAAAGTGAGGCAGAAAATAATAACCCTATCCCAGAAATGCTAGCAGGTCTTATTTTTCAGTTCTCTGCAGGGAACAGTTTTTCAAAATCCTATAAATTTTGCTTTTCTGACAATTCGAATGGGATTTGAAATCCAAAATAGCAACTTAAACAGTTCTGACATCACTAGTGAAGAAAAAAAGCACTGGAAGACAGGAGAGCAATGCTAATGCCGTTTGGAGATGGACAGAATCCAATTCCCTCTTGGAGCTGCAATGGCTTTGCAAAGCTGTGGAGAAGAAACAGTAAGAGAAACTTATCTCTGCCCTGGAAGGAAGCAGCCCTGACCTGTAATTAGAGGTGTACAGACACAAAGGAATTATGAGCAAGAGGGTGACAATTTCAGATAGCTCTCCTGAGTGATAGCACAAGAACTCTTCCACACCTTCCTCTCCTGTTCTAGCTCTAACATACCATGATTCTATGGAGTCAAAGAAGGAGCTGAAGCCCATGAACATACAAAAACTAATTCTTTCTCTAAATGTATGCACATATATTCTATTGAAACCAGAGTGAAATTCTGCTCTGCTTTGTGTAAGCTGACTGACTCCCTATTAACATCAGGAGCAATCCAAAGAACTCACAGGGACAACAGACTCAATCTCTTTATTGAGGACCTTATAAGAATTCTCTGTGTGTGGTGAATGAGAGTCAGAAACTCTTTAAGTTAGTTACTGAAATAATTTACTGCAGCTAAACCCACTGTTCACCTTTGCTTCTTGTGAAAAGTCCTCATGCCATGACAGCTGGGAATACCTGTGACAGCAGCAGCCAGCAGAACCAATTTTAAATACCTGGAAATTCTGGGAACAAAATATCAGTGAGATAAATCTCTCTCCTGGATGATAACATTGTATTTAAGCATATATCAAGGTTGATAGACTAACAGATCTACTTTTAAATAAAATAAACTTATTGCTAATTAGAGAGTTCACAGAATTTTTCTCCTTCTGTTTATTCACAGAAAAGAAAAGCTTCCCTTGTGTAGTCATAGGTAAAAATTTGTCTGTAGGAAACTCCAAACAATAATGACATTTATAAAACTTCAACATTAAATCTAAAAATTCAGCTACTGAATTTTTCAACTATAAATCAACTAAAAACTTTCAACTGTAAACAGCATATAGAGTCTCAGTGTAGTTTTCTAAGAAAATAACAGCTGCTAATGCTACCTAGAATCTGTAATATGCTCTCTTCTAACACCACTGCTCAACACTTCCCAAGTATTCCAACCTAAGTGCCAACAGCTCACTTTTCTTACTCCATTTGGAAGCAATGAAATGTAGATATTTCCCCCTTGATTCTGTAGTTGCAGTCCCTTAGACAGTAAGGTGTTCTCTGAAAGCACTAAGTATTTGTCAAAGCTGAAAGCATAACCACAATACAAGTTAAGAATACAAAGCATTATCTAACTGTACTACAAGACAGGAAACATCTTTTGAAGCTGATAAAACACAGGGACTCAGAACCCACACAGAAACTTCATCCTCATTAAGTTTTGTTGCTGCTGAGATTATTGGTAAAAGAAGCATACCAGATTTTTAAAGGAAACTCAAATCTATATGCCTCTGATCTTTCTTGGGAAGATGTTCTGCATTTCTCTGCTGAAGTACAGCCT